ACATCGCACACATCTCACCGCGCATGCACACATCTCACCGCGCATGCACACATCTCACCGCGCATGCACACATCTCACCGCGCATGCACACATCTCACCGCGCATGCACACATCTCACCGCGCATGCACACATCTCACCGCGCATGCACACATCTCACCGCGCATGTTCACATCGCACACATCTCACCGCGCATGCACACATCTCACCGCGCATGCACACATCTCACCGCGCATGCACACATCTCACCGCGCATGCACACATCTCACCGCGCATGCACACATCTCACCGCACATGCACACATCTCACCGCGCATGCACACATCTCACCGCGCATGCACACATCTCACCGCGCATGCACACATCTCACCGCGCATGCACACATCTCAGCGCGCATGCACACATCTCACCGCGCATGCACACATCTCACCGCGCATGCACACATCTCACCGCGCATGCACACATCTCACCGCGCATGCACACATCTCACCGCGCATGCACACATCTCACCGCGCATGCACACATCTCAGCGCGCATGCACACATCTCACCGCACATGCACACATCTCAGCGCGCATGCACACATCTCACCGCACATGCACACATCTCAGCGCGCATGCACACATCTCACCGCGCATGCACACATCTCACCGCACATGCACACATCTCACCGCGCATGCACACATCTCACCGCACATGCACACATCTCACCGCACATGCACACATCTCACCGCGCATGCACACATCTCACCGCGCATGCACACATCTCACCGCACATGCACACATCTCACCGCACATGCACACATCTCACCGCACATGCACACATCTCACCGCACATGCACACATCTCACCGCACATGCACACATCTCACCGCACATGCACACATCTCACCGCACATGCACACATCTCACCGCACATGCACACATCTCACCGCACATGCACACATCTCACCGCACATGCACACATCTCACCGCACATGCACACATCTCACCGCACATGCACACATCTCACCGCACATGCACACATCTCAGCGCGCATGCACACATCTCAGCGCGCATGCACACATCTCAGCGCGCATGCACACATCTCACCGCGCATGCACACATCTCACCGCGCATGCACACATCTCAGCGCGCATGCACACATCTCAGCGCGCATGCACACATCTCAGCGCGCATGCACACATCTCACCGCGCATGCACACATCTCACCGCGCATGCACACATCTCAGCGCGCATGCACACATCTCAGCGCGCATGCACACATCTCACCGCGCATGCACACATCTCACCGCGCGTGCACACATCTCAGCGCGCATGCACACATCTCAGCGCGCATGCACACATCTCAGCGCGCATGCACACATCTCAGCGCGCATGCACACATCTCAGCGCGCATGCACACATCTCACCGCGCATGCACACATCTCAGCGCGCATGCACACATCTCAGCGCGCATGCACACATCTCAGCGCGCATGCACACATCTCAGCGCGCATGCACACATCTCACCGCGCATGCACACATCTCACCGCGCATGCACACATCTCACCGCGCATGCACACATCTCAGCGCGCATGCGCACATCTCACCGCGCATGCGCACATCTCACCGCGCATGCACACATCTCAACGCGCATCCACACATCTCACCGCGCATGCACACATCTCACCGCGCATGCACACATCTCACCGCGCATGCACACATCTCAGCGCGCATGCACACATCTCAGCACGCATGCACACATCTCACCACGCATGCACACATCTCACCGCGCATGCACACATCTCACCGCGCATGCACACATCTCACCGCGCATGCACACATCTCACCGCGCATGCACACATCTCACCGCGCATGCACACATCTCACCGCGCATGCACACATCTCACCGCGCATGCACACATCTCACCGCGCATGCACACATCTCACGCGCATGCACACATTCACCGCGCATGCACACATCTCACCGCGCATGCACACATCTCACCGCGCATGTTCACATCGCACACATCTCACCGCGCATGCACACATCTCACCGCGCATGCACACATCTCACCGCGCATGCACACATCTCACCGCGCATGCACACATCTCACCGCGCATGCACACATCTCACCGCACATGCACACATCTCACCGCGCATGCACACATCTCACCGCGCATGCACACATCTCACCGCGCATGCACACATCTCACCGCGCATGCACACATCTCACCGCGCATGCACACATCTCACCGCGCATGCACACATCTCACCGCGCATGCACACATCTCACCGCGCATGCACACATCTCACCGCGCATGCACACATCTCACCGCGCATGCACACATCTCACCGCGCATGCACACATCTCACCGCGCATGCACACATCTCACCGCGCATGCACACATCTCACCGCGCATGCACACATCTCACCGCGCATGCACACATCTCACCGCGCATGCACACATCTCACCGCGCATGCACACATCTCACCGCGCATGCACACATCTCACCGCGCATGCACACATCTCACCGCATGCACACATCTCACCGCATGCACACATCTCACGCGCATGCACACATCTCACCGCATGCACACATCTCACCGCGCATGCACACATCTCACCGCACATGCACACATCTCACCGCGCATGCACACATCTCACCGCGCATGCACACATCTCACCGCACATGCACACATCTCACCGCGCATGCACACATCTCACCGCGCATGCACACATCTCACCGCACATGCACACATCTCACCGCACATGCACACATCTCACCGCACATGCACACATCTCACCGCACATGCACACATCTCACCGCACATGCACACATCTCACCGCACATGCACACATCTCACCGCACATGCACACATCTCACCGCACATGCACACATCTCACCGCACATGCACACATCTCACCGCACATGCACACATCTCACCGCACATGCACACATCTCACCGCACATGCACACATCTCAGCGCGCATGCACACATCTCAGCGCGCATGCACACATCTCAGCGCGCATGCACACATCTCAGCGCGCATGCACACATCTCAGCGCGCATGCACACATCTCACCGCGCATGCACACATCTCAGCGCGCATGCACACATCTCAGCGCGCATGCACACATCTCAGCGCGCATGCACACATCTCAGCGCGCATGCACACATCTCACCGCGCATGCACACATCTCACCGCGCATGCACACATCTCACCGCGCATGCACACATCTCAGCGCGCATGCACACATCTCAGCGCGCATGCACACATCTCAGCGCGCATGCACACATCTCAGCGCGCATGCACACATCTCAGCGCGCATGCACACATCTCAGCGCGCATGCACACATCTCAGCGCGCATGCACACATCTCAGCGCGCATGCACACATCTCAGCGCGCATGCACACATCTCAGCGCGCATGCACACATCTCAGCGCGCATGCACACATCTCAGCGCGCATGCACACATCTCAGCGCGCATGCACACATCTCACCGCGCATGCACACATCTCACCGCGCATGCACACATCTCACGCGCATGCACACATCTCACCGCGCATGCGCACATCTCACCGCGCATGCACACATCTCACGCGCATGCACACATCTCACCGCGCATGCACACATCTCACCGCGCATGCACACATCTCACCGCGCATGCACACATCTCACCGCGCATGCACACATCTCACCGCGCATGCACACATCTCACCGCATGCACACATCTCACCGCGCATGCACACATCTCACCGCGCATGCACACATCTCACCGCGCATGCACACATCTCACCGCGCATGCACACATCTCACCGCGCATGCACACATCTCACCGCGCATGCACACATCTCACCGCGCATGCACACATCTCAGCGCGCATGCACACATCTCACCGCGCATGCACACATCTCACCGCGCATGCACACATCTCAGCGCGCATGCACACATCTCAGCGCGCATGCACACATCTCACCGCGCATGCACACATCTCACCGCGCATGCACACATCTCAGCGCGCATGCACACATCTCAGCGCGCATGCACACATCTCAGCGCGCATGCACACATCTCAGCGCGCATGCACACATCTCAGCGCGCATGCACACATCTCAGCGCGCATGCACACATCTCAGCGCGCATGCACACATCTCAGCGCGCATGCACACATCTCACCGCGCATGCACACATCTCAGCGCGCATGCACACATCTCAGCGCGCATGCACACATCTCAGCGCGCATGCACACATCTCAGCGCGCATGCACACATCTCAGCGCGCATGCACACATCTCAGCGCGCATGCACACATCTCAGCGCGCATGCACACATCTCACCGCATGCACACATCTCACCGCGCATGCACACATCTCACCGCGCATGCACACATCTCACCGCGCATGCACACATCTCACCGCGCATGCACACATCTCACCGCGCATGCACACATCTCACCGCGCATGCACACATCTCACCGCGCATGCACACATCTCAGCGCGCATGCACACATCTCACCGCGCATGCACACATCTCAGCGCGCATGCACACATCTCAGCGCGCATGCACACATCTCACCGCGCATGCACACATCTCACCGCGCATGCACACATCTCACCGCGCATGCACACATCTCACCGCGCATGCACACATCTCACCGCGCATGCACACATCTCACCGCGCATGCACACATCTCACCGCGCATGCACACATCTCACCGCGCATGCACACATCTCACCGCGCATGCACACATCTCACCGCGCATGCACACATCTCACCGCGCATGCACACATCTCACCGCGCATGCACACATCTCACCGCGCATGCACACATCTCAGCGCGCATGCACACATCTCAGCGCGCATGCACACATCTCAGCGCGCATGCACACATCTCAGCGTGCATGCAAACCACCTCTTCCTCTCCCGCCACACCTTTCGCACCCCGGACTTGGCGCCCTCCCATTGCGTCGTCGGCCTCTCGGTCTCGTCCCTCTTCACCACGTACCTGCGTGCAGGCCGCCACAGCAGCTTACAGCAAGTATGTGACGCGCGAGATGGGGCGATCAGAGGCGCTGCTCAAGGTGAGATGGGGCGATCAGAAGCGCTGCTCAAGGTGAGATGGGGCGATCAGAGGCGCTGCTCAAGGTGAGATGGGGCGCAAGATGGGGCGTGTTCAAGCTGGGATTGCCTACCGCTCATGGCCTGCCTACCGCTCATGGCCTGCCTACCGCTCATGTCCTGCCTACCGCTCATGGCCTGCCTACCGCTCATGGCCTGCCTACCGCTCATGGCCTGCCTACCGCTCATGGCCTGCCTACCGCTCATGGCCTGCCTACCGCTCATGGCCTGCCTACCGCTCATGGCCTGCCTACCGCTCATGGCCTGCCTACCGCTCATGGCCTGCCTACCGCTCATGGCCTGCCTACCGCTCATGGCCTGCCTACCGCTCATGGCCTGCCTACCGCTCATGGCCTGCCTACCGCTCATGGCCTGCCTACCGCTCATGGCCTGGCTCATGCCTGCCTGCCTCCTCCATACCGCTTCTTCACCATCCCTCCTCCATACCGCTTCTTCACCATCCCTCCTCCATACCGCTTCTTCACCATCCCTCCTCCATACCGCTTCTTCACCATCCCTCCTCCATACCGCTTCTTCACCATCCCTCCTCCATACCGCTTCTTCACCATCCCTCCTCCATACCGCTTCTTCACCATCCCTCCTCCATACCGCTTCTTCACCATCCCTCCTCCATACCGCTTCTTCGCCATCCCTCCTCCATACCGCTTCTTCACCATCCCTCCTCCATACCGCTTCTTCACCATCCCTCCTCCATACCGCTTCTTCACCATCCCTCCTCCATACCGCTTCTTCACCATCCCTCCTCCATACCGCTTCTTCACCATCCCTCCTCCATACCGCTTCTTCACCATCCCTCCTCCATACCGCTTCTTCACCATCCCTCCTCCATACCGCTTCTTCACCATCCCTCCTCCATACCGCTTCTTCACCATCCCTCCTCCATACCGCTTCTTCACCATCCCTCCTCCATACCGCTTCTTCACCATCCCTCCTCCATACCGCTTCTTCACCATCCCTCCTCCATACCGCTTCTTCACCATCCCTCCTCCATACCGCTTCTTCGCCATCCCTCCTCCATACCGCTTCTTCACCATCCCTCCTCCATACCGCTTCTTCACCATCCCTCCTCCATACCGCTTCTTCGCCATCCCTCCTCCATACCGCTTCTTCGCCATCCCTCCTCCATACCGCTTCTTCGCCATCCCTCCTCCATACCGCTTCTTCACCATCCCTCCTCCATACCGCTTCTTCACCATCCCTCCTCCATACCGCTTCTTCACCATCCCTCCTCCATACCGCTTCTTCACCATCCCTCCTCCATACCGCTTCTTCACCATCCCTCCTCCATACCGCTTCTTCACCATCCCTCCTCCATACCGCTTCTTCACCATCCCTCCTCCATACCGCTTCTTCACCATCCCTCCTCCATACCGCTTCTTCACCATCCCTCCTCCATACCGCTTCTTCACCATCCCTCCTCCATACCGCTTCTTCACCCAGTGCACATTCACTTTGCACCCAGTGCACATTCACTTTGCACCCAGTGCACATTCACTTTGCACCCAGTGCACATTCACTTTGCACCCAGTGCACATTCACTTTGCACCCAGTGCACATTCACTTTGCACCCAGTGCACATTCACTTTGCACCCAGTGCACATTCACTTTGCACCCAGTGCACATTCACTTTGCACCCAGTGCACATTCACTTTGCACCCAGTGCACATTCACTTTGCACCCAGTGCACATTCACTTTGCACTCCGCCTTTATCGTTCCCTTCCCTTCCCCCCTCTTCAGGTGGTGCTGGCCCCGCAGGAGAACCTGGTGGACACGTACCGCACGCTGCTGCCCGATGGCTCCGCTGCTGACTTCCTGCGCACGCTCGACCTCAAGGTGCGCCGCTCTCTCATGGGGTTCCTGCTCTTTGCTCCTGGCTCATGGGGTTCCTGCTCTTTGCTCCTGGCTCATGGGGTTCCTGCTCTTTGCTCCTGGCTCATGGGGTTCCTGCTCTTTGCTCCTGGCTCATGGGGTTCCTGCTCTTTGCTCCTGGCTCATGGGGTTCCTGCTCTTTGCTCCTGGCTCATGGGGTTCCTGCTCTTTGCTCCTGGCTCATGGGGTTCCTGCTCTTTGCTCCTGGCTCTCCCCGCTCATCCCACGAGTATGGGTGCATGTTCATAATGGCGTGGTATCCTTTGCTCTGAAAGGAACAAGCGTGCTCTAGTGTCGCTGCTTCTCTTCCTGCCCCCCTCCGCTCTCTTTTCCCACTGTGCACATTACACTATCATCACCCCCCACCTCCGCCATCATCCCATCCTCTTCCTCTCTCTGCACACTCGCCCCTTTCCCCTCGCCACAACAGGGAGTGAAGAAGCAGGAGCAGCAGCCGCTGCTAGACGCGCTCACAGCCAAGCTCAAAGCAGCAGCGCCCACACAAGCCCCGCCCTCCAAGTCTCCCACATCGTCCGCTGTAACCTCCACCACCACCCACCCAGCCCCACCGCCAGCCACCGCTACCACTGGCCCCCCAGCTGCCACAGCCACCGCTGCAGCCGCTGCGGCTGCGGGCATGCTGACGAGTGCAGCGAGCCGTGAGGCGATGATAGCGCGGGCGGCGGCGCTGGGGCGGGGAGCGATGGCGCAGTCGGCGGCGGCGGCAGCAGCGGTGTCGCAGAACACGGCGCTCAAACGCATCTTTGCCCTCGCTGACTCCTCCACAGCCAGCGCCTCCAAAAAGGACATGTCCTTCCGCTCCCTCTTCAATGCTTAGCTTACCCACCCCTGCCGTGCAGGCGTGTTGCTTTGCTGAAGGCTTGAGTACAATCTGGATGAAGTTAGCAATTTCGACAGCCTCTTAAGAATTCGCTTTCTTTTTGAGCGACAGTGTCTTTTTGCCCCACAAATATTTACGGTAGCCGTTTTTGTACCTGTATGGGAAGTTCAATTTCAGGTTCGGCCTCAGCAACGTGTTCGGATTTCTAACGGGGGGGGGGGGGCATAACGAAGACGCAATCACTCAGCCCTGATAAGCAATCACTAAGCAAAAGTTCATTCAATCACCGTACTGCACCGCGACACAACGGAATTCGACCTAAACGAGAGCCGTTAGAGTTAGAAACTCCCTTGGGAAAATTTAATTGCAGTGACAACACCGAATGTATTGTAACAAGACACGACGTTAACGACGGAAGCGTTGCGCATGCACTACTATTCTAGAAGAAAGATATCATAAAAAGGCACTATATTCTGAATAATGCGACAAACCATGTTCAAAAAAAGAACCCGATACCCGTAACTCTATTCTCTATCGATTTGGGAACGATTTAGAGATTCATATTTTATCTGTTCTAGTAATATTACCGTAATCCCCCGGATATAAGACCCTAGGGTCTTATGCTAAATCCCTAGAAAAAATGGGTCTTAACAAAGGGAAAAAATATATACCACCCGGGTCTTATCATATGGCCCCTTTTTTTTAAGGTGTTTTTAACACTACAGTCAATACTGAAGTTGGGGGGATGCTTTTGGTGAGCACCAAGCCAGCGAAACATTCTTCGCTAGAAATCATTGACCGGTCACAACTCATTCGCCTCTCACAGTGGCTGCGTTCTGCAGGAATTCGCCTTGGGAGGGAGGTGGGGGGACGAAGGGAAATGACGATGGTTCCGAGGCAGTTTCCCCTTCGATCCCCCCCCCTCCCCGCTACAACCGAAAGTTGGAAATTTCGGGTTTAGGGTGCGAAGCTGCTGAAGGTAAATGCCGAAAAAACGGCCACAGGTGGGTGGCTTGTGCTTTTTTTAACCTAGGTTGACGCGTCTCTGTTTGGGCTACTTAAGGGAGGGGCTGTTTGCTTTCTAGGGTTCAAGTGTGGTGTTCCCTAACCCAACGCCTCCCTCCCCCCTCTGTCTCACATCCCGGGCAGGAGCAGTTTTCGAAAGGGGGGGAGGAGGAGGCAAATTTTGCCAGAGAAGGAAGCTGGGGTGGGGAAATAGGCAGCTTCCTACGCCCTCATATCCACGAGAGTAAATGGCTGTTCTGTTGCCATTTACCTTCGTTTACGTTCGGAGGGTAAATGGGAGGCTCGGATCCATTTTCCGGGCTGACCGACGTGGCGCGTTTTCAAGACGCTTGTACCGGGTAACCTACATTTTCGAACGTGGCTCGGCGTGTCTTTTACAAGATCGAATGTCGGGGTTATACCTTGTATGTATGATTGCATCTTTGCAGTGTTATTTACGCAATGTTCGAACTTCGCTACGAGGAAAGTCGAATTCCATTCGACTTAGATCAAAATAATTATTCGCCCTTAAGACATAAACTTTGGCTAATTTGACGGAACACACGCGCCCTAAGTTTGTGTGACTTGTGCTTTGACGGTATGCTATTACAAACCCAGTGTTGAAAGCACTTGTGCCCTCCCTCGAGTTTGGCAGGTGATGGCGGTTCTGCCACTGTCAACCATCAAGTGTGAGAGGGGGTTTTCGCAACAGAACGTCATCAAATCTTGGGTGTGGGGGTTGTTGTGCAATGTTCGGATGGCGGAATTGATGCAGATTTTACTCTTGGAGTACGGTTTTTCCATGGATGGTCTAGGGGGAGGAACTAGCAGAGGATGAGGGACCCAGTCAGCAGCGGCGCGAGGATGAGGAGAATTTGAAGGAGTTGGACAGTGAGGGTGATGAGAGGGAGATAGATCAGGAGATGCACAAATACAGTGCACAACACAATACAGTGGCACGGTCATCGCACTGCAAGCCTGCTCAACTTCTGGAATTTTGTCGGGAGGTGCTTCAACATGTGTTCTTCAAACCCTCAAAGTTTCAGAGTTTTTGAAGCAGTTAACAAGGCACGGCAACGTTTTTAAGTTTCAAGACTTTATGGCATTCCGGAAGTGGGTGTTACTCTTTTTTGGTAACACCCGAGTTCACCATTTCGGCTGCTGACTCGTCTAACGAGCTCTGATTGGTCTGAAAATTGGTGTGGAAGTCATTTGCCGTATTTGCACGTGGTCACCAAGTTTCATGACAACCCAGCATCGGAGCAGCGCGTGACAGCTGTCGAAAGTCACTGTTCCGTAGTCATGGTGCACTGTTGGCAGCATTTCCCTTGTCACCCTTTCATTGTTGTCATGCCAATGGTGCAGGGACAGAGAATGAGACAAGAAGTACAGGTGGTCAAGTGGCTAGAACTCTACCACCCTCCTTTTGAGAAGGGAGGTCTTCTTGGAAGCAGCTTGCAAGAGGGTGCAAGTGGGAAGACAAGCTGACTCATGGTTGGCTTGACTCACTATTGGTAGCCTTGAGTACAGCTCTGAACATCCAAGTGTGGTTGGCTTTGCTGACCTAGCTAGGACGTTTCCCATCCTTCTCTAGCCTTTCTCCCCTAGGACTCAACCTTCTCTGAGTTCCCAGGATGACCCCAACCCCTTAAGAGTCCCCTAGGCAATGTTGCACTCGCCTCTTCCTTGCATCAATGAAACTACACGTTTTTCAGCCGAGCTTACGTTTTTGTTTACTGCGTAGTGCATACATCTCTGATAAAAGCAAGCTATATACCCTTGGAAAGCATAAACCTAAGGCTAGCTTCTGTCCAAGTTTCAGCCTCGTATGTTTTCGGGGCTGTTCGTGACGGCGTTTTGAACAGAGGCGGTTCGAAGTCACCAGATTCTGCTTAGGCGGTTTCGTGGGCATCCGCGACCCCTGAGTGGACTCTTGACTATAACAAGTGGTATCAGAGCTGTTCTACTCTGTTCGTGGGTGAATATGGAGGCTGAAGGTTCTGCTCCAGCTGGTCCCAGTGGCAGTGGTGGCGTGAGAGGCGCTGGGGAAGCGGGAAGAGGCGTTGCAGGCGGATCTGCACCAATGGCTTCCGTTTCAACATCAGCTAAGGATGATGTGAAGGCATTCAACCTGGAGAAGTTCTCTGGGGAGGATTGGGCATCATGGAGCTTCCGGGTGGATCTCCTCTTCAACCATTATGGGCTGCTTGAAGTGATGGATGGAGAATTTAAGAGACCTGCGAGCGAATGAGCGACCAAGGAATGGGATTGCCGATCCAAGGATGGATTCTTCCTTCTCTCCCAATGCCTCTCATCCAACCAGCTGCACCACATCAAGCATCTCATCAAGGAGGTTCAGTGTGGTCCTGAGGCATGGAAGATATTGAAGGATGTCCATGCCCCCAGCAGCGAAGCAATGGTGGTGGTGCTTGAGCAACAACTCCATGCAGTGAAGATCAACGAGGGTGATGTCATACAAGGAGTGTTCGATCAACTCCGGGACCTCTATGTGAAGCTCTCTGCTGCTGGTGTGGACTACCCTGAGAGAGTCAAGTTCTACAAGGCTCTCTCCCTGCTGCCGGAGTCGTGCGGGTCCTTGGTGGTCAACCTCAATGGCATGAAGGACACGTGGTTCCTTGACTGGATCTGCGCACAAGTTCTTCAAGAGGATTTTCGGAGGAAGGAGCTGACCGCCGCTGCCGGTGAAGGTGGAGGCTCTGCCTATGGCATGAAGGGATTCAAGGGGCGTGGCAGCAAGAAAGGCAAGGCCAAGGAAGGCTCTGGAGGGGATCAGTATTCGGGAGGGAAGCGTGGCAACAAGGGAGGCAAGCGGTGTGGCGGCAAGTGTTGGTATTGCCATGTGGAAGGTCACCCATGGTTCAAGTGCCGCAAGCTACCTGACGGTTGGAGGCCTGGTCAGCCATCAATTGAGGGCTCCAAGGGTGTTCATGGAGCTATGGGAGAAGGCATGGGCAGTGAGGAGGGCGATGGAGGTGCTGGCAAATACGGCGGCATGTTCTACCATATAGGAGAGGCATGCTCCGAGGACACGGTTGTACCGGCCAGCAAGGTTGCCCTTCACCGCTCCTCCCATGACCATGACCAACCGAGAGGATCT